GCGGGGCGGGGTTGGCTAAGGAGGAGGAGACCACTTCACGTTCTACATCTCGCGGTATGTCTCAGGCTTGACTCTCGCGAGAAATAGGAAGCTCCGCGCTTGCGCACTGCTGTAGCGCCTAGTGGCTGTGGCAGGTCTGCCGGCGGGTGTGCGAAAGGAGACTACCCTTCTGGAGGCCGCTGCGTTCCCTGCGTCTCGTCACCATGAGCAGCACCTTGGCCAAAATCGCGGAGATCGAAGCCGAGGTAATGGGCGTTCGAATATTCCGTCTTAGCGTTTCTCTTAGGCGGCGTCGCTCCTTCCTGAACTTCCTTCAGCCGCGTCAGAATCTGGCCCGCGTCCGTCCCCCGACCCCCCTCAGCCTGGGCCTGCGTTCCCCAATCCCTCCTCCCTGACCCCTCCTCCCACTGCCCACATTCCGCACGGCTGCACTTAGTACCCTTTTTCAGTGTTAGGTCCTGTCCAAACATTATTTCTCTTAGTATTTTCCTTTCCTGTGAGCAGTACTGAATCCTGTCCCCCCACTTCAGCCCTGACCTGCTCAAGTACTTCAGTATCTTTCCTCATCATCCCTCAAACCCCTCACCCTATCTCCAATCTCTTCTTTGAGGACCCCCTTTCCCAGAGTTTTGCTCCCAGGGAATAGAATCTGGAAGTAAATTGTCACCTATGGTAGCTGTTGAATCCACCTGGATTGTTGTGTGATTCTGTTTGAAGCGCTCAGAGCTTTTTAAGATTGAATGGGGCACACCAGGTACAAGCAATTGAAAAGGAATGAGCAGCTGAGTTTTAGTTTAATCTGTGAATACTAATTGTGATAGCCTTGGTCCTGTTTCTTCTCTTTGGACCTCAGTTGCTTGTTATGTAATTGGGAGATTGGGCTTGGTGATGGAGAGAATGGATTTTTATTCTTAAGTCTGCCTTAAAATGGATATGTTGACATTAGTAGGACCTAGGAAAAAACATTCTCTCAGAGCTGAGGGAGCATTCATTCTGGTTATTTTACCGTGTAGGAACTGCTCTGATTTTCTGATTTATGGCTGTTATTCCTCCCTTTTAGATGGCTCGGACTCAGAAGAACAAGGCCACAGCACACCACCTAGGGCTGCTTAAGGCTCGCCTTGCTAAGCTTCGCAGGGAACTCATTACTCCAAAAGGTGGTGGTGGTGGTGGGCCAGGAGAAGGTTTGTGTTTTTCTTCATCAATTTTTTTGAGGGGTGTAATTTTTAATCAAGATAATATAGGTGTATGGTTTAAACATAATTTTAGAATTTCTATGAACGTAGATTTGTAATTTTCTAAGCATAATTTCTTGAATTGTGTTTATTTTATCCTACTGATTTTAAAGGCAAATGAATAGTTTTTAAGTGAGCTAGGGTTTTATTTATATATATCCTGTACTGATCCAAAATAGATTTACAGTGGCTCACAGAAACATGTAAATAAATACAGTCAACAATATAAAGAATAATTAAGGAACTTGATACAAAGGGAAATGCTGGTAGAAAGAATAGGTTGAAGCCAAGAGAGCAAAGTTTAGGACCAAAAGTAAGTCATAAGGTTTATACACTTCGTAGAGAAGGGCCACAAATTTGACTTTGAATTTGTTTGCAACCTATTGTAAGAAAAGAAGACTCAGTCACAGGGTTTGTAAGAAAAAAGAGAAACCAATTTTTTTAGATCAGTTATTTAATATTTGGTTTCTTAAGTACTATGGGTGCTAGAAAGATATGCAACAGTTTAAGCTATAGAGGCATAAAGTTTTTACATCAAACACTGCATTAAATATTGTGACTTGCTATGGGGGAATTTTGTGTGCTTAAGTTATAAAGCTAAACTGTAACAAGTTGGAGAAATAGGTTCTAGAGGGATAGGCATCCAGAATGTTAAATGAATTACAAGCCTCAGTGCTCCCAGGGATAATTTGTCTCTTCTTTCTGATATTTATTGATGTTTCAGGATTTGATGTTGCCAAGACAGGTGATGCTCGAATTGGGTTTGTGGGTTTTCCATCTGTGGGGAAGTCAACACTGCTTAGTAATCTGGCGGGAGTCTATTCCGAGGTGGCAGCCTATGAGTTCACTACTCTGACCACTGTGCCTGGTGTCATCAGATACAAAGGTGCCAAGATCCAGGTGAGTCAGGTCTGCAAGCCAAGGAAGGGAAGGAATCAGTTCTTTTATTTATTTAAAAAGCACTTATTTGGAACTCCCTGTAAGCCAGGGCTGATCTTTGATCTGCCAGACCCTCAGTGTCTAGCAGGGGAGATAGAATAGTACATAAAAACAATAAAACAAATGGTTTAGTGTTTGACTGTACAACAGTGGAGACTGTGTGGAGAAAGGAAGGACTACTTTTTCCACCTGAGGGTGGTTGGGGAGATCGTCTGGTAAGACAAAAAAAAGTTTCATGTTGAAAGTAACAATGGGGTGGGTCTTAAAGTTCAAATAGAATTTCTCCAGCCAGAGAATGTAAAGGGCAATTTCAAGCAGCCTTAATGGTGAACAGTTTGCTATGGTATGAGCTTAGGTGTGGGACAGGGAGTGGTAGAAACTGAATCTGGAAAGGTAGATTGGAGCTGAATTATGAAAGGTCTTGTGTGCCTGCTAAGGAAGCTGAATTTTATCTATTATGTAGTAGCTGGGGGAGCCATTAGAAACTTTTTAATGTAGAAATGGTCAGGCCCTTTTTAGTGGAAAATTCTCTGTGAAGCCTAGTGAAGTTGGTGTCTTGAGAAGTTCTTAGATGGCACATTTAGGGCTCCCAAATAAGGAGTCCTCTTGGGTATGAAAGAAGATATATGTAAAATATAATGGAAGATATTCTTGTTGGCTGCACAGCAAATAAGACAAATTCTGAATTTCATGACATTTAAATCTAGGCTAACAAAAAAAAAAAGCAAAAAAAAAAAACAAAATAAATCTAGGCTAGAGGTTTCCAGACTTTCTACATTCACAGTACCCTTAGTGGCTCAGCCGTTATTTCCTAACAACTTTTCTTGTCCTAGTAATTTTTTTTACAGTGCTCCCAGCCAAAAAAAAAAAATACCTAATGGTTCCATTTGTTAAACAGATCCAAAAAATGCAATTATTTATGTCTTTACAGCCACAGTTATTTACTAATGGGATATGGGCACTGTTGGGTACCACGTAACTTCTCAGACTTTGGAATCAGATTGAATATTCCCACATTTGTTGCCTTTTCCACATTAATTTTTCTGTGGTACTGACTTTTTAACCATAATAACTGCTGAAAAATCTAACTTCCCAAAGATTCAGATCTGATGTCATGGAAAGCAGTGTAGTAGGATCTAATGAAATTGTGAGCTTTTTTGATCTGGTAGTTCCCTCAGTGCCTGACAGGTATCAAGAACTGCTTCCCTTGAAAATTTAGAACATCCCATATGTCACCCCTAAGTTCTTTGTGGTGCAGCAAGTGCCTTGGTACATCATTTGGAAGCTCTTGGTGTAGGCATTTGTTTTACTTCTTGCTAAGCTGCACAGTGACTTCTGAGGTGCATTCATGCTTCTTTACTATAGAATCCAGTGTAGGGAGGGACTAGTATCCTGGTGGTATTTTCAATGGCTTTTTATCTTTCTGGTTAGGTGCCCATGTGGAGACTGTTAGAATATGTACCTTTCTAGGACTTTATGTCTAAATGTATATAACAAGAATAAGGATGCTTGGGCATATCTGGACCATTGCTTAATTTCATTTGGTTCCAGAGGCTCGAAAGCTTGGCATCTCAGAGAGTAAACTCTTTCCTAATGAGATACTGTAGCATCTCTCTCTGGGCTTCTAGATGTATTAGAATAAATGTCTCTTGCCTTTTCCTCAAAACCTTCATTTATTTTAGTCTCTTCTGACCTTTTTTTCCCCTCTTTTTTGCACAGTGCTTTCTTTTCCATCTGTTCCCTCTGCCTGTTTTTCCCACCCTTCTTTGTTCAGAAACCAAGTTAAGTAAGCATACTAGTAGGTATGCTTAACTGAATTAAGATGACTGCCCTCAAATATTTTTAAAAAGTCTGTTTTGTGGCAGAGGACTCATAATCTGTGGCTTGGTAGGAGGGATGTGCAAAATTAGAACCACCTAATAAGAATTATAAGGAGGGAAACTTCTGGGATTTTTTGTTAGGAAGAAAGATATTTTTAACAATAAAGGTGCCTAAAAATGAAATGGTACGTCTTGAGGTAATTAATTACTGTGTTCAAGTAGTGGCTGAACCACCACTTACCAGGGATGTTATAAAGAAAACTGATATCACATAGGCTGAGATTGGCCTACAAAGTGTATGTACAGTGCTTTAAAAATCAAGGGGCTTATGTTTCACCTTGCCAGGGTCCTTAGGACTCCTGTTGGTTATACTGAAGTATTATGTTTCTTTTTGGCAAGCATACCACAGAAATGGTATGTCCTTCTCAGTGCGTCTTAGGAATTCATGATGTCAGTATGTCTTATTGGTGATGTTGACCCCCATCAGTTGGTTAAAGTGGTGTCTGTGGGATTTCTCTACTACAAAGCTGTTATCTTTCTTTTTGTAGTTAATAAACATCCTGGGGGAGATACTTTGAAAAGATGTAAATCCTGTTTCACAAACTTGCCCTCTCATTTTAGCATTTGTCTATGGATCTTGCCTAATGGTGATTTTCTGTTTTTCTCTTTCTTACTACATTTATTAATTAGAATTCTACTATATGGAGGAGTTGTTCCTTCTTTCCCATTTGTTTATTTGTTTGTTTATCACTGTGGGCTCATGGATATTTATTTTATGGGTGATAATCCAGTACTACCATTATTTTATTACTCAAATTGTTCCAGCTATGACTATTAGGAACTCCTTTAGGTTGGCACCTGTGTTCTTTCCAGAAGCCCCTGTCTTTTCGTGAGTACTTCCTTATTTTCTGGCCAGAACACGGTGTTCCAGGCTAATCTTATATTTTCCCTGCTTCAGTCCTGGAATCAACCACTTCTGAAGGAGCACTGTTCATTTCATTAGAGATAGGTGTATAGAAATCAAGATCTGGTGTGTTCCTTACTCCAAATGTAGCTTTTAAAATCAGTGTAACCAGAGTTTCCAAGTCAAGGCAGGTATATTGAACATAAGGTATCTTCTTTGAAAGAGAAAGGGTAGCTCAATTTAACTGATGTATCAGTTTTAAAGGAGATAATGTTATTTTTTATGTAGTGAGGAATAGAAAGGAGCTTTTGAGCAGGTTCTTGAATGAAAAACTTGAACTCTCTAAGCACCTCCTAAGTTAGTTCTTTTTCATTGTGGTTTATTTAACGTGAACTATAGTTTTATAATGTCAAAATGCTTATAGCAAAGGCTAGTTTTAAATGATGCTTTGGTAAACTGCAACTATATCCCTGTCTGTTCACTCGAATAATTCAATATTGACTGTACAGTAGACCCTTGGTATTTTCAGATTTTATATATGCTCTTAACATGACTCTTACAAGCTTATAACTATAGTTTCTAATCTTGCTCAGATGTGAATTTGAATCATACGTGCTGTGGAGTTGGTTTTGATGTTCTTGTCATTAGATACATACACTGTGACTTGTGTGAGGTTTTAGTTTATCACATTTCCTGAGCAATTGAGTGGTCATTTTCAACTGCGGACACATATCATAGTCACCCTTGAAGGCTTTTGAAATACAGATCGATATCTGAACCCTGCTTTGACTCCTCCAAATCAGTCTGCAAGGATGAGGCTCAGATACCTGCATTTTTAATGGTTTTATAAGTGATTCTTATGTGCTTACCTGATTAAGGTTGACTGCAGAAATTTTTGTGAATTGGGGGATTTGCAAAGGTCTCAGTATTTATCATTTGTGAATGTCCTAATTCAGTTATTATCTACAGTAAGGAATTTTTGTGGAGGTTCAAATTCCTGAAAAGTGGAGGAATACGGAAAGATACTGATGTAGAATAATGGATTTGGGCCCCCCCCATGTAGGTTATAATCTTACTTGATTTATTAGGAGTGTGATTTTGGGCCAAATCACCTAACCTCTATGAACCTCAGCTAATATCCTTATTTACAGAGTTGCTAGACATTTTAAACTAGATGAAGTATATAAGAAGCTTGTAGCTGACATTTATTAGATGTTTAGTAAAAGTAAGATTTACACACTCATTTATAAGGAAGATTGGATTTGGATCTCCTAATTTTGGATCTTGAGAAATAAATCATTCTATTTGATCTGTTCAGATTTATAACCAGTTTTTCCTTTTCTCTCTTTTCTCTTGTCCTTAATCTTGCAGCTTCTGGATCTCCCAGGTATCATTGAGGGTGCCAAGGATGGGAAAGGTAGAGGCCGTCAAGTTATTGCAGGTGAGTGGTCCAAGGCCACCATCCTGGGATATCATCCCTTTATTGGGTACTATTCTTTTATTTTATTTTATTTTATTTTACTGGGTACTATTCTTTTAGATGGGTCTCTTAGTATCACTGTGAAGGAAATAGTTTTACCTGACTTCTCACTGGAGTAGAATGTCAGAACTTGAAGGGATCTCAGAGAGTAACAGTCCAGATCCCCATTTGAAGAGAAACACTAAGGACAGAAGTGAAGTGCTTTGGTACAGTGTTGCACTGTTGGGCAGATTCAGAACCAGAATTCAGGTTTCCTTACTCCCACCCATGCCTTTTCTTCTTCTTCTTTTTTTAATTTAAAGTGAAATGTTATAAAAGGCTAATCTCGATTGCAGCAATCTGCTACCCCACCTCTCTTCACCTCTACTGTCATTCCCCATTGGCAACTATGTCAAATCTTCAACTATTCTACTTATCCTCATATTTTAAAATATTATGCTTATATTGCTATTTCATGGTTAGACACCATCTGTTGGTTTCATGTTATGGTAGAAGATTAGCTCTCTTATACTCCATACCTCTTTTCCTATTCTTTTAAAGAAATTATATCATAATTTTTAATTAACTCATCAGTCATAGTTTACATTATTATATAATGACTGTAGCTTGTTCAGTGCTGAGATAAGTAGTATATTATGACTTGTTTTCTTTCTCTTGAAATCTGTTTTTGAAGTTTATTTTTTGTGGAATTAATAATTGACTTTCTTTTGTTCTGTTTACTTTTCTGTGTTTGCTAATATTTTTCAAATGTTCCAATAGATCAAATGCCTACCAATCAGTATTTTTCTAGATACTTGAATACAATTCCAAATATTGTCTTACTGATTTCATTCTCTCCTCTCAACTCTGACACTACCTTCCTGTCTTCCCTTTGTCTTCTGTGCTTCAGTCTGGATTGGTTGCTTCCTAGACCAGACCTGTCCAGTAATGGAAATGTTCTACAGTAATGGAAGTGTTCTGAATTTGTGCTTGTCCAATGTGGTAGCCATAGGCATATATGGCTGTTGAGCACTTTAAATGTGTCTGGTGCAATTGAGGAGCTGAATTTTAAATTTTATTAAATTGAAATTAACTTGAATTTGAAATGCTCCAGGTGGCTAGTGGAGTCTGTATTGGACAGTGCAGCTCTAGACTTTACACATGTGTGTCATCCTGAGATTTTCTTTTGTGTTCTTGTGTGGGATCCCCTATTTCTTAGAGTCAGTGTTTTATATTTTGGGGGTTATTTTAATGTTTTGCTGAGTCACAGTTTTACTGACATACTGAAAAAGAATGATAGGTGAGTTCTGTTTTTTTCGTGTTTGAAAATATTTTTATTCTACACTTATATTAACTTACTAATTTAGCTATTTATAGAATTATGGGCTCAAAGTCATTCATAGATGACTGTCAGAAAATTATGCTATATTAAAAGAGCTGGGCACAAAAGACTGACTACATTGGGTATGATTTCATTTATATCAAACTCTAAAAAAAATGTAACCTAACCTGTGGTGACAGAAAGCAGATCAGTGATTGATTGAAAACTGAGGGTAAGATGGTTTGCAAAGGGGCCTTAGGGCACTTTTGGAGGTGATGGAAATGTTCTGAATCTAGATTGCTGTGGTGGTTATAGAGGTATGTACATTTGTCATCAAACCATATATTTAACATAGGCACTATTTTTTATAAATTATACCTCAGTGAAGTTTACAAAAATATGCTAACTTATTAAGATATAAGATAATCTTATTCTTTGAGAATTCTTATTGTTTTAAATCTTTCTGAACTTTTTCAGGGATTCAGGTTATTGCCTGGTTTGTATCTTCATTCCGAATTATTTTTCTGCTTGTGTATCTAGAACTTGACACATCTTCTAGGTACACTAATAGAAAATAAAGCATACATTGCAAATTGACTTCTGGTATAAATCTTTGGTAACCTTAAGAACTTCATGTGTGTCTATGTATTAAAAAAAAAATCCTTTGTCTCTTAAGTATAGGAGCTTTACACCACCATCTCCCCCCCACCCACCTTTTTGAATATTTGAGTTATGTTAAGTCTTTAATGAGCTTTGAAAAAAATTTGAAAGAAAATTTGTTTTCAATTCTTCAGTGGCTAGAACGTGTAACTTGATCTTGATTGTTCTGGATGTCCTGAAACCCTTGGGACATAAGAAGATAATTGAAAATGAGCTGGAAGGCTTTGGCATTCGCTTGAACAGCAAACCCCCCAACATTGGCTTTAAGAAGAAGGATAAGGGAGGCATTAATCTCACAGCCACTGTAAGTGGAGAAGGTGATATGGGACAGGTTGCTGAAGGGACTAGGGTGGGGAATGGATTGAGGTACAAGGACATTGACATTTGGAAATTGCCTGGCTTCTTCCAGCATTAATCGAGGTAACACAATGATGTTGTAATGACTGACAGAGTAGGACAAGAGTCAGTCTCAGACTTGTCTTTCTGGCTTTACTTCCTCTTTTGGGTTATTTATTTGAGGTGGTATGGGACTGTAAACCAATGTTATGCTTGCGTGAAGTAGAGAGCTACCAATATCATCTGTTTTCATTCATTCAACACAAGTTTATAGAGCACCTACCATGGGCTTTTGAGGGGAAGGGAAGAGGGAGCAAAATAGACAAAAGTTCCTGCCCTTGTATTCTAATGGGGAAAGTAGCAAACAAAATTAATTAGTGATCATAGCATATTAGATGATAGTAAATCTAAGGACAAAAGTAAACTAGGGGAAGATGGGGAGTGTTGGCAGGAGGGTTGCAGTTCTAAGTAGGTTGATCAGAGAAGTCTTAACTGAGGTGACATGGAGTGAACCAAAAGAGATTCCTGTCTTGAATAACATTTCACATAAAGGGGATATCCAAGTGCCAGGCCTTGAGGTAGAGCATGCCTTTGCATGTTTGAGGAACAGCAGAGTGAGCAAGTAGGAGAGTTAGTAAGAAATGAAGTCATAGTGTAGGTCCATATGTGCTTTTACTGTGCAGGAGATGGGCAACTTCTGGTTGGGTTCCAATCTGTGGAGTAAAATTGATTTGACTTAGGTTTTAATGGAATCAATCTGGCTGTTGAGAATAGACTGAAATGGGTTAAGAACAAAAGGAGAGAGATTTAAGTGAAGTAAGTCAGAGAAAGGCAAATATATGATGTCACCTGTATGTGGAATCTCAAAAGCAAAAAATACAAAATTTATTTACAAACCAGAAATAGACTCATGGACATAGAAAACAAACTGGTTACCAGCAGGGAGAGGGGAGGGATATATTAGGAGTTTGAGATTAACAGATATACATTATTGTATATAAAACAGATACACAACATGACCTACTGTACAGCACAAAAAACTATATTCAGTTTCTTGAAATGAGCTCAAATGGAAGAAAAACAAAAAAAGTGATTATATAACTGAATAGCTTTGCTATACACTTGAAACTAATGTAAATCGACTACACTACAATTAAAAAAGAACAAAAGCAGAGAAACCATTTAAGAGGTTATTGCAATAATCCAATCAAAAAGTGATGGCCTTTACTTCACCCTGCCCCAAAAAAAGTTAAAAAAAAAATCTTAGACCAGGATTAACAGTGGAGGAGACGTAAAGTAGTTGATTGTGGAAAGATCTTGGAAATAGCTGGTAGGAATTACAGCTAGATTGGATGTGGATTATGAGAGAAAGAAATGACTGAATTTTTTTTTTTTGGTAGGGGTAGGCAATCAGGTTTATTTATTTTTAGAGGATGTACTGGGGATTGAACCCAGGACCTTGTGCATGCTACACATGCACTCTACCACTTGAGCTATACCCTCTCCCCTAGTAGTTATCTTTAAAGCCATCATCTTAGCTGAGGAAGTATAAACAGAGAAGAGGTTCGAGGATTGAACTTTGTGACCTCCCCCCAATAATTAGAGATTGGGAGATGGGAAGAATCAGCAAATAATTCTTCTCAGGCAAAGAAGAAGGAAAACCAGAAGAGCTTGGAATCCTGGAAGCCAAGTGAACAGAGTGTTTCTGATTTGTGGAGCCATCAATTCTATCAAATGCTGCTTCTAAGTCATGTAATTGAGGACTGAGAACTTCCTGCAGCTTTTAACATTCTAGAAGTCCAGATTATTTGGCTGGCGTAGGTTTGAACTGTCCTGCCCAAAAGAGCTTTTCCATTATCCTGTCATAATGTTCGAATTTGAGCATTCCGTATTCTCTCTCTATTTTTGCTAAGGCTGCCATAATAAAGTACCATAGACTGGGTGGCTTAAACAACGGAAATTTAATTATCTTTGATTCTGGAGACTGATATCTGAGACCAGGGTGTGAGCAGGACTGGCTGCTTCTGAGGCCTCTCTCCTTGGCTTGTAGGTGGCTTTGTGTCTTCATATGATCTGTGTGTGTTTGTGTCCTAATCTTCTTTTCTTGTAAGGACATCAGTCACATTGGATTAAGGCCCACCCATATTACCTCATTTTAATACAATTATCTCTTTAAAGACCCTATCTCCAGTCACATTCTGAGATACTGGGGTTTGGACTTCAACATATGAATTTGAGTGGGGATAGGGAAACAATTCATACCATAGCACCTTCCTGTGAGTTCGAAAAAATTATAGTTTTTAAGTATTTCCTAGTAGAAGTAAGTTATCCTCATCCAGGATAACAGTCTTTAGAATTGTTTGCACCTTATGTAGGATTATCCAGGTACACCAAGAGATGCTCTTAGGAGATTGTTTACCAGTCATTGTCTTCTGTGCCTATTCAGTGCCCTCAGAGCGAGCTGGATGCTGAAACTGTGAAGAGCATTCTGGCTGAATACAAAATTCATAATGCTGATGTGACTCTGCGTAGCGATGCCACAGCGGATGACCTCATTGATGTGGTGGAAGGAAACAGGTACAAACTGAATGGTGCCTAAGTATGAATTGGAAGCCTTGTAATGGAAACAACATCGGATTATGAATCTGGCAGACATCGATTCTAACTCCAGTTGTGGTATTATTCAAAATAACAGTGGGCCTTGCTTTCTTTAGCTTTAAAAGGAAGGGTTGGTCTTGATTGCTAATATCCTTCTTTGCTCTGAAATTTGATCACGATGATCAGATTGCTCATTTCAGTTACTTACTGTAAACTAGGCTGTCCCCTAAGCTCTGTGTCATATGGTGGTTGAAGAAAGTAGTGTCTCAATCTGCTCTCCCAGAATTAATGCATCTGAGAAATTCTTTAGGCTGCTGTGCAGAACTCAGAGCAGGTTGGGGGGGGCGGGGTAGAGGGTGGGAAGGGATAGACTGGGATTTCAAAATTGTAGAATAGATAAACAAGATTACACTGTATAGCATAGGGAAATATACACAAAATGTTATGATAAATCACAGAGAAAAAAATGTGACAATGAGTGTGTATATGTCCATGAATGACTGAAAAATTGTGCTGAACACTGGAATTTGACACAACATTGTAAAATGATTATAAATCAATAAAAAATGTT